TTTTTTTTGGGTCATAAATATATGTGAAGTAGCTAAAGGTGAAGACATTATTTTGAGTTGAATAAATATATGCTCTATTTTTCACAAATATTTTACAGCACTCCAGAGACCCAAAGCAAGATATAAGTAGATTGGAAAATAAATAAATGGATTGACTTTTGGACACTGATATTGAGCCACTGTATAAGGTCAAGTAGGGATGACATAAATGTTGGATATTTTAGTTTATCTCACAGTTTAAATGCAACCATTTGAAGCTATGGTAAGGCTTGTAAGCTCAGGTTTATGAACACAGTTAGAGATCTTAAAAAGGCTTTATAGGCTGCTTCCATTAATTTAGTTCTGAATTGTATACATACAAAAATGCAATGATAGTGTAAATAAATGTATTTATTGTGGAATTTAAATTATGCAATTAATCACATAAAATTGTTGAATCTTCACAACAAAAGGGGAAGGGTCCTTGTCCAAACTGTCTGCTCTCACTCAGACTTTTATTAGAACAGCACATGGGCTCACAACTGGGAAAGACATAAAACCTATGGCCGTGATCTGTGTTAAAGTTACAGCCTGTGTAAAAAGGTTGTGCTTTCCCTACAAGATGGGCAGAGGGAAATAAATAAAAGGGAGAACAAAAAGGAAGACGTTTTAATATAACAAGTTTGTTTAGGGTTGCCATGTGTATTTGTGGTCGCTTCTTGCTTTTCATACACTTATGTATTTGACTATGTGTCTGTTTTCACTGTTTCTGTGTGTGTATGAGCGCATAGACTAGGTGTTTGGTTTGTGGCCATAAAGTAAGTGTTAGTCATCGTGAGTGTACATGCTTTCGTCTACTCAGTAGGCTTTTATAGTAATTGACGGACCCTGTCACAAGCCCAGTGACACCACCCACACCCCAAAAGGGATTAGATGCTTTGCCACTTTTGCTGTAGACAGCTGCTGTTCCTGTCCCTTCAGAATATCATGACATGTGATTCCCTATAGAGTGGATACATTATCCTAGCTTTATCTCCCTGCGTTTGACCTTGAGCTGCATCTCAATACTTCCAAACTTCTGATGGGATTCACTGGACTCTGCTGTCACCAGGAATATGCAGGGTTACTCATTAAACTCAGCAGTAGTATTAAAGGACCAGTGTGTAGGATTTCTTAGCTATCTAGTGGTGAAGTTGCAGAATAGAACCATCTGAATACCGCTCGCCCTTCCAAGCATGTAGGATAAACTATGGTGGCCTCAGATTTACTCTGATTATTATTTTCAGGTGATTATACACAAATAAAAACATACATATACATATTATAATCAATTTCTGCTAATAAATCCTCATAAATGTTACATACTGGACCTTTAACATTTCCATGATGGCGTGTTGTTTCAGTTCAATCTCTTTGAACATTAGCACATTACATCTCTGATTGATATCACTCATTAGTTGGAAAGTCGCACTGTAGTTGGAAAATGTAAAACATCTGAAATGATCTGTGGCTCTGTTTTTACAAACAGCAACAGGGAAACAAGAACAGGCCCACTATTACTACTATTTTGCAATAAGCCTGCATAGTGCAGGGTGCATACTGGGGAGCTCTCTTCTGCAAGATTCCTAGAAACTATTCACAAAATGTGTGAACAGTTTCTAGGAAACCTGCAGATTCTGAGACAATGTGTGATATTTTCAAGGTTTTCAATGAAGTTCATTTTCAAGAAGTTAGAGAGGACCATAACATTTTAACTGTTAAAATCTAGTTAGAACAGTGTTTCCAAACCAGGGTCTTATCCATACCACATCCTAGTAAGCCTCTTTCAACATGCCAACTTCTGTCCCATGATAAATATCAGTAGACAGAGGTTAAGCGGCTAATTTCATTCCCCATATCCTGCCTTGGAAATGGGAGCCCTGACAGAGCCAAAGGGCAACCAAAACAACCAATCTATAACCCTGTCAGTGGCAATTAGATCATATATCACCCCAGCAAATGATTCTGGAGTGTTCTGCAGAAGCTCGAGTATTCAAAGTCATCCTTTACTTAGTCAGGCCAAACTTGAACCTGGGTTTAATTCATAAATCATGAGTACAATTAACTGCATTGTCAAGAATTGAGGGACGCTTAGAGGCTATACTTGTCTGGATTATGTTTTTGTGTGCGAAAGTATGAACCTATTACTTCTTAGAAAGTACATTCAAATATATATGTTTAAGAGCTCGATCCAAGCAAAAGGGCTTCTGTCAAGCTGTTCACCTTTACCTTTTTTTTGTGTTTCTCTACCTCTAGGCCACCCACACAGTCCTCTAAATAAGGTCACCTTGACGTTGATTACCATCAGCACATGTGTCATTGCCATTGTCTATGCTACGCAGGATTCCTGCCCTCTCACTGTCAAGGTTACGCTCCATGTGCCTGAGCATTTTGTCGCGGATGGTAAGTGCAACACATTCATTAGACCTTGGAAAAATATTCAAACAACAGAATGTCCAAAAAAAATGATAAGTTATACTTAATTAACCCTGTATATGTTTATGTCTGTATATATGTTCTTTTCTTTTTGTACTAGATTTTAACTTATTTTAATTGAAAATCATGTGAAAAGCTCACATTTGTCTCTCTCAATCTGTGTCAAGTCTGGTCACTGACAATAAACCCACTAAACTCAGTCTGAATGAAACTTGGTTAAGAGTGAAATCACATTTTGTGGATATATTGTACCTACATATCTCAGCCTTGGGCAATGTTGAGCTATGTGTTAGTTAAAAAAAAAGGATATAGATTTCTGGAGCATGTTATCTTAATAGCCACTATCCATCACGATACACCTTTGTTTTGTTTAGTTTTTTCTCAGCAATAATTGGATACAGTTGTCCTTCAAGCAGCATACTGCAGGGATGACTGTCGATTAGGTACATGCTGTTATTGAGTGGTAAGAATATTATGTAATTTATATAGTTTTTGTTGTTAGGAGGAACAGCTAATGGGCCAGGGACAGCTCTGCATGCTTCCTCTGTTTCTATTTACAAATGGCTTGCAGTAAAATCTCCACCCCCTCAACTATGATTTGTGGTTTTCAATTTCATTTCTTTTCAGTGTCAATGCCCCCTCTGCGCGGCTGATAAAGTACAAAAGACGCACATCTATCCAACAAAAAGTAAATTATGTGCTGGAAACAAAAAAATGAGCAAAAATCAGGACAATAAAGCCCACACACTGAAAGCTCTCAATGGAAAAAATTATTTGTTATCGCCAGAAAAAAACGACAATAATGACATTCTGAGCCATCAGATTGATGAAGAGCCGAATGCTTGAAACATGATTGTTTTTTCTTTGTGTTTGCACTGGGTGCTTTCAGTGTGCAGACTTTATTACATGTGACTGCGTATGGTAGATTGGAATACTAACCTTCTCCATGGTCTACACTTTTTCCGTTGTCATGACACAAATGTTCTATTCTAATGTATAGTTCTGTTTGATTCATCTGTTCATATATACAGTAACAAGCTGTCTGTATGGTATAGAAGCGATATGCTCCAAAGTCAAAATGCCATCAAGAAAGTAGAATAAATATAACTTG